AGCTTTTCATAGTCAAGTGAAATTAAATGTGCCGCGGACAGCAGAGTACAACGAAAAAAAATTCACTTACACAGGCAAGATGAATGTGGAATAATTAAAAATATAGAAAAAAAAAACTTATCTAGTGTCTCTTTGGTGACAAATCAAAGAACATTAAAAGAATTTACTTGCAGATCAAGAAGACGAACGTTTGAAGATCTAAAATAGAAGGAAAAAATTTTTTTTTCCTTTGTTTATTCTTTATCACATAACCGATTATATCTAAAAGAAAAATTAGAATTCAATCTGGAACTATCCATGAAAAAAAAAATATAACTTTCAATAAATGATAATGTCTGCTAAGTAGAAATGAAAAATTATGTGGTCACCATATTCTTTATTACCCACTTGTTCTACAAGATACATTTGTGTTAGTCACTAATAACTACAATATTATGATTTTGTCTACACTAGGAAAATAATACAGTATTTATTTCGAATTAAATGTGCGTGTGTTTCAACCTAGTATTAACTCTATAACTTCACAGTTCAAAATTAGAAAGCTTGAGGTTCCAATTCTCATATTTCTCAATTAATTGTCACTAGACATTATTTTACATCAGGTAATGAAATTTTTTTCAACTAAAAGTATTAATTTCCATGAAAGACGACAGTACCTTAACATTTGATTGACATGAGAGCTTGATATTGCTTGAGATCGCAATTGTAGAAATGTTTCTTTGATACATGGGCATGTTTTACGTTTATCTTTCTTCGATCATCCAATCAGATATCATTAAATCTGATATGGATTGTATATTATGATAGGCACTTGAATTACGCAGACAATTTTTGGTCAATGTTTAGGATGTGGGTGCGTGAGCGTAGGTCGTTTGGTTGCAGGTCTGGGCGTGAGCGTGGGTATGTCTGTAAATGAGGAAAAGAGAACATAGACACATATTCTAAGAGTCGCATCCACGTCCATGACACACCTACATGCCATACCACTCACACCCTTATTTTTGGAACTATTCAAGTTGGTGATTTAATTCATGTTCTTAAACAAGATTTTGATTTTTAGGGAAAAAATGATTAAATTTGTTACATCAAAAAAAATCTCAATTTTGAAGCAATAGCAAAGAATAGTATTTAGTATCAAACAAAAGTATCAAATGATTTTTGTTAGCCTAACCATGTTCAGTTATGAAATTTTTTCAACTTTGTATTTAATTTTTTTATATAGAATATATTTTATGATTTTTTTTTAATCCATATGAAAGATAAATACAAATTTGTTTCCTGACTCGTTTTTATGTCTACTTCATGCTGCTCACCGATAATGAAAGATTGTTTTCATCTAGTCTTCAGTGAGAAAAAAGGGTTTACACGATTTACTGTCCACGGATTTACTGTCCATTGATTGTTTTTCTTAGAAAATTGTTTTTTTTCTACAGAAAGTATAATTTTTGCTGCTGAGGATTTACTGTCCATTGATTGAATAACTTTTTTTTTTCAATTAGTGTTTTTCTCGTTTGAGGATTTACTGTCCGTTGATTGTCTCGAAGAATAGAAATGAACAGAAAAATATTTATCGCAATCAACTATGTATATTTAGAAAAAAAAAAGAATTCAAACAAATATATGAGGAAATAACAAAGAGAATAAGGAATTGATTAATAAATAAACCAAAAAAGATGAATGGACGTTCAACTTTTTGGTGGACGCTGAAAATATCTAAGTCCAGCAGCTTTTAAGAATGATGGAATATCGAGACGACCTTCATCATAACGCTGCCATAATTTAATTAAACATTCATCAGTTATAACTTTATTTTTTCGACGTTTTGGAGTTGGAGCTCCCACATTATCTCGTAATCTTGAAATAGATGCTAATGATTGTTCTTTTTGTAATAAATCAATTGCAACATAAATATTGGGATGCGGAGCATTTACATGCTTCTTCAATCGTGAATGACGACCCTCCAAATAATTAATAGTGCGCGGTAAAATATTACGATAATGGTTGTACATATGCGGTGGGAATTTACTTAAAGGTCCATATGTATTATGAAAATAGTTAAGAAATTCTTCAATGCCTGGATATACAGGTCGAGTATGAATTAAACATTGTAAACCCCATAGCATATGATTCAATGGTAATAAAGATAATGCTGCAAAGGATCGAAACCATTCGCGAAGATTTTCATCATTTTTATAAGCTGTTTTTAGACCAAGATCAACAAATTTACGAAATAAACTTTGTCCATAATGAAATAAACAACCTCGTACAATAACAGTAGGATAATTTTTAGTAAACACATTATAAACAGCTAGCTCAAAATCAATCGTAATTGTTCTTAATCTAATAGGTAACCTGAATTCGAACATTTTCTTAAAGATAACTGTAAATAAATCTGTATAAATTTGCTCATTTTTACCAGTAAGTAGCGCGAAAATGCATGGTGTTGATATTCCATCATAATAAGTATGAATTGAATACATTTGGTAAAAAATAGATGGACAAGTGTAGAAAGTACCATCGCCGTACCAATTTTCATGTTGTGATAAATAAACCATATCATTATAAGAAGAAAAAACTAGTGAACGAACGCCACCAAGTGGTCCATCATATAATAAAAATGATTCGCCTTGTTTTGTTTTGCAATAAGCTTCGGGTAATGGATATGGCAATTGTTCGATTGATTTTGGGACTGGTGGACGAGTCTTACGACGTTGTTTTTGTAAAGTGTTTTTAAGTGTGGCAATCGAAGGCATATTTATAAGCAAATCATTAGATTGAGATTGACTATTAATTGTATGAAATGCTTCTTCAATTATACGATCAATAGGACTAGATTCTTCGATAGCTTTTCGTTTTAAATTTTGTCGCATTTGTAATACTTCTTTATCAGTTTCGTCAGGTAGATGTGTATGATCTTCACGAACAATTACTGATAAATCTAAGTAACTTGTAGCCGTTGTTTGACATTTAACACATATCCAATATTCCGAACCATTTTGATTCTTACGTTTCAAAGAATACCGATAACCGAGGTAGCATAATTGTCGTTTACCATGGGTAGATTCAGTAAATATAGCAGACATTTTTAGGAAGAGTATGATAAGAAAATTATATTCTTTGAATTTATATATATTTTTTATAAATTTTTGTCATATTAATGACTATTTTACCCCCCAATTTGATGAGCATCCCTCATTTTAAATTGAAAATTTATTCAATAGTTCGCTCATTGGTGACTTTTTTGTTTTTCAACATTTATGTAATTTTTTGTTCAGAAAAGGGATTGATTGTCAAGACCATTACTCATTTATTAATTTCTCTTCTTCGAAGCAATTAATGGACAGTAAATCCTCAACCAAAAAATACACTAATTGAAATATTCTATTTTTTCAATCAATGGACAGTAAATCCTCATACAAAAATAGCGTTAATTGGAATAAAATTTTTCCAATCAATGGACAGTAAATCCGTGGACAGTAAATCCGCGGACAGTAAATCGTGTACACGAATATATTGACGTCCCCAAATAATTAATCCCAACACGACTAAAAGTGATTTAAATGAAATTGATTGACACTCAATAAGTGTTAGATAACCAATTCATTTTTTATAATGCATGGGAATTGAACAGCCTAATATTGCGAATCTTTTCGCATGCTTCCACTGTGTGTTAATTCTTCTTTATGAAGATCCCAAAATGGGTCAGATTCCACAACGGATCAGTTATAAATACCCTCAATCATAATTGCGTAGTTGAATCGCGTAGAGTCTATGAGTGTTGTTTACGATTTTCAATGTGTTTAACAATGAACTAGTAATAGTAAATAATGAGATGATGCAATTTCATACGTTGGATAGAACATACATCAGAAAATCAAATGGCAAGATGCCTATTGTACATAATTGTATCACCGAAGTAAAGTTCCTGGTAGTAATGGCAGCGAGTCAACCGATCGAATAACTGACTGCGACAACTGCGGCCCTATTTATACTCGAGTATGGTCTGGTCGATATCAAATTTTCTTATTGTTTACTCTATATTTTTTTGACAAAATCTTTTGATCCATAGTGACGATATCCAGCTGTTCTATTGTTTAGTCTATATTTTTCATTCCATCTTTTTATCCATGACGTTGATTATATCCAGATCATCTATTGTTTAGTCTATAATTTTTCGTCAACTCCTTAAATCCATGATGATGACTATCCGGTGATCTTGTGTTTCGGTCACTTCAAATAGTGTCACTTGGTTGTCAGAAGTGAACCAAACTGGAGTCTATAGTCCATGGTTCACCTATCTTAGCTATAGTATGTGAAAAATTCTCGATAGATGTCCTGCGTGATTGATTTGATTCCATGAAGTTTTTTCGTTATTTTCTTTTCTCCTTTTAGTTTTGGAAATTAAAAATCAAATGATACTGATTCTGTGTACTGATGTTTCCAGTCATGAAAATACACGATGATTAGATTGGAAAATCTAGATAATACTACGAAAAATATTTCTAAAGTGTCATATAATTTCGTGAAGCATCTGATTTAGTTTTTCATAAACAAGTAACTCACACATAGATAATCGCAGCATGGTTCATACTGATGTCTCTCTTTTTGATGGGAGTAGTGGTTTTTCTATATTCGATAATTAGGAAAACACATATTGACATATAGACACAGTATTGTATAATCAATGAGTTTTATTTATAAATTAAAAAATTTTTTAAAATCATATGCAGAATCATATCAACTCCTTGAAAATTTTTGTGTTGTGTAGACCACAATAAATATTACATCGCTGAAAAGAGTGTAGAAAATTAAACAAGGATCCATAATTATCTTGAAGGGTATGCCCAAGTCTCTAACAACAATTTAAAATAAAGATTTCTCAGCAAAAATAGCTAAGATATTTCATTGTGTCGATCTCTCTCTAAACTATTGTTTTTGTTCTTTCATCTTTTCCTTCTACTTCACACGCATATGTTCAAATTTGAACGTATGCATGTCAAGTAGAAGAAAAAGACAAAAGAACAAAAAAAAGTGTTCAGAGAGAGATCGACAGAATGAAATATCTTAGCTATTTTTTGCTGAGAAATTTTTTTTAAATTGTTGCTTGAGACTTGTGCATGCTCTTTGAGATAATTATAGATCTTTGTTTAATTTTCTACGCTCTTTCTAACGAGGTACTTTGATTGTGTCTGCACGAAAAAGAATTTCGAGGGGTTGATATGGTTCAATCTTATTGAACACTGGATGTACACTAGAGAGCGCACTGTAACAAAGTTTCTCAAATTCTCCCGATCCTTCAATTGATATTTATTTGTGATGAAGAAAGTCAACTTTTCTTTTTACAATTTGTACAAAAATCTATTTAAATGACTAGAATTTCTATATAGATAACTGTCGTATGAAAGCATTCGATCCGTACAACTTTCGTTTGGTTTTTCAATGGATGAACTAAAATTTACAGATAAAAAGATGGTCAATTCAATTTTAGTTATTGAAATGAAATCTCAACTCGATTCAATTCAACTTTGTAAATCGTGAAATTTTTTTCCGTTGTATTAAATTAAATCTTAAGTCTCACGAGATATCTCTCCATTCAATTCTATCTAACGCTTCGAACTTTTAAAAAGTATCCTATTCAACTCAATTGATTTAATTGATAAATAGAATTAAATAAAATGAAACTTACTGTTTTTGAATTGAAGTTTCTCAATTATCAGCGAGAGATATGCTACACAAATATTTCGCTAATCAAAATGTAAAGAAATAAACGATCTATTTTTGATCCAAAATACTAAAAAAAGCATACTGATACATTGAAAATACGGTTAGATGAAATATATGTACACAACAAATAACAAAGAAAGTAAGTAGAAACAAGATGTTACGAGAATAAGAGCAACAGTTAGAAAAAGCAGGTGTTTTTCCTACTTCGAGATAAGTAACATGCTCATTATGTGAAAAATAAAGCACGAACTATTATTCTGAGATATAGTCTATAAATTTATCCTTGAACTAAAGCTAAGATTATCAGAACGTTTCTAGAATTAAATCCCCATATCTTCAAAAAGTTTTATTAATTCGACTGAATTCAATTCAAATATCTTATAAAATATAACTTTCAGTTAAATTCTACTCAATCTATGAATTATCATTTCTTTTTTTTCTATTTAATTCAACTCAATTCTTTAATTCCGAAAAATATTTACAATTTAAATAATTTCAATCATTAATAGAAATAAATTGAAGTGAATAAACAGATCATTTTTTAAACTTAATTGTTGAACTCAATATTTGCTACAGAATCATGTTTTATCTCTTCGTTATCAAAATATTACTTAGATATTTTAATAAAACTTAATTGACGATTAGTTTTTAAAAAAAATATCAATGAGTTATAGTAAGTTCTGAAGTAGTTTTTTATTCTCTAGCGTTAGCTGCATTCATATGTTTCAATCGAGTCGATAAATGGAGAAAAGCATTGTTTGAATTCTTGTATTGCATGAACTTTTTTTTGATTGTCTAATAACTTCTATATGAAGTGAGCTTATTGCCTTTGGTTTACATATTTGGTTCACTTCAGTCGACCGTACCACTTTGGGTTCTCTGTACTTTCACCTTTTCATGATCATATTTAGATGCACTCAAAAAACAAAGATAGTTGTCTTTGTATCAATCACTCCACATAGTTATGACACCGAGTATATTAACGATTTCAAGTAAAATTGTAATAGTCTCTCCCTACTCTATTTTTCTTTTTCATTCTTCGCAACACGAAGTAGAAGTCTTCCACATTGATGCCAATAATTTTAAAAATACAGTTTTTGTCTCGACAACAGTTCGTAAAGATCGAACTAATAATGAATATATTGCAGTAATCTTAATTAGTAAACCTCAAACCATCATTAATGATGATCGATGCAAGACTCTAAAAAAAATTAACCATTCATATATAAAAATCTCAAAAAATATCTATTCCGTCATTTCATATTTCCATACCACCTTCTATCATTTTAGAAAAAAAATAAAGCTAAATTTTACTTAAATTAGATACAACGATATATTCCGAATTTTGCACCGTACATTTTCATCTGTGTGACTTGTTCTGTAGACAAACTGGTTTCCTGTTGTGTACTATTTTTCTTCTCTCAGATTGTGTTAGCGTCCATGATGAATTACTTGGACGCTAAACGATGATTAAGATGCGCCTTCTAGTCTAATTGGCTTAGGACATCTGCCCGGATAGCAGAAGGTATGGGTTCGATTCCCATGAAGGTCATCTTTTTCATCGTTCTGTCACATAACATCAGTGACACTGCTTGTCTCTTTCGTTCTATACCATATGAGAGCTAACAGATTGGCTTAGAAACATCAATGCAGAAAAAATATATGTCACAATTGAGTTTAGATTTGAAAAAATGGCTCAAATGATTCGTCTCAAATGAAGCTAGTACACATTTCAATTTTCATGTCATCTTCGGTCTCTCTCAGTTAGTCCAAACTTAAAGATATTATCCAAATCACTTTTGATAAATATAGAATAGCGATCAGCAATATTTATCTTCAGAATGCATAACCAAGACATGCTAATGTGAAAAAAATGTAGCGAGACAAACCCAAGATTTTTACTAAATGATCTAGAAAAAGTCAACATAGTTAAACACCACTTGTAACGTTAAATGCGACATAGTGCTGTTTTCTTGATAAATAAATTACAAGACACAAAAGATTAAATGTTCTCCATAAATCAGATTATTCTTTTACTTTGACACCACTACATCACCCACATAAGTCAAATCAACAAACCACTTTTATGATTTCTTGTTATATTTTATTCTCAATCCTGAAAGGATA